CCCTGATCTACATAAATGCGTCTATGTTTGAGTGAATCATTCGTGATCCAGCCTCATCTACAGAAGAATTGAGTATAATGTTTTGTAATGAATCTTTGCAAATCGCCTTAATGTGCTAATTAGCAAGTTTCACGATGAATGTGGCTAAAGTAAACAGTCTCTCTGAGAGCAGCTCGGAATAGAGGGGCGGGGTCAGCATAGCTCATTAACATTTAAAGGAAAATGCTACAAAAACGGCTTGATCTGAAAAGAGCTGTTTTTGACAGGGTAAAAAAGGTGTTTTTTACACTACCATTGAGAAATTTTAACCAAACTATGTTACAGACTTTTCGTTAAGACCCCAAAGAATCATATCAACTTGTGGAAAATGGGCATCCTATGACCCCTTTAAGAAGGTCAGTCATTATTCACCTGCCTATTAAAAACCATAAAATGGTATAATGAGCAGTTACTAATAAGCCGCAGAAATGTAAGCCAATGTTTTTAAATGACACAAAATTTGATATGTGATTAATTTAATCAGTGATCATCTAATTAAAGGAGACCTATTATGCCCCTTTTTACAATATATGTAGAAGCACTGATCACATGTTGGAGCACTGCAAGGTATTTAAGAAAAAGAAACACAGGGATAAGGTTGACTTCCTCAAAGGAAAAGGAATCTGTTTTGGTTGCCTGCATCAAGGTCACATTAGCAAACACTGTAGCCAGAGACTCACCTGTACGTTGTTCCAAATAACACCCAAGTGCCCTCCACATTGAGCAAACAGAACAAAAGAGAAAGGAAGAAATGAAAAGTGACACAACAGTGAACTCCCCAGCTGTTATGCAGCCAGCATGTGGATGCCTAGCCACTACAAAAGTCAAAGACTCCTTTCTACAAGCTGAAGATCACAAAGGAAATGCGCTGTAACTGAAGATGGATATCAATGAGTCTTTGACTTTTGTAGTGGCTAGGCATCCACTTTGGTGGCTGAACAAAAAAAAAGGCTTGACCCTCACAGTCTTTACAAATCCATTGTCCACATAGTTGATTGGTCCAAACTTGAGGAAGCATTTATTGCAATTAAAAAATTAAAATGAAAAATGAAAAACAACAACTCAATAGAGTACAGGATTGCAAAGATATAAAGTAGATTGGAACTTGAGTCAACACATGGAGTCAGACCGAGAGGTCAAAGACTGTCACTTCTTGTTTAGCCACACCCTCAGGTAACATCACAGGTGTTTTATCTCAGAGGCCTTGCATCTCCACCTGAGCCACTAGATGGGGTCAGCTTAAATAACACATAGAAATACAAAAAAATTTAACAAATTATCTTTGCATAAAACATAGTATTTTGGCTCCTACATATCCGGCCCCTAAATGTTTTAAGCTTAACATAAAGCATTTACATAAATATTTACCAAAGGAGCTACTAAATTATAATCCCAATATTATAATAATAAAGAAAGAAACTACTTTCCTTTGGCATGATCACTGTTGATTTTCTTCTTCCAATAGAAGGCACAGCTTTGTGATTGTTCGCTCCAAGACACTTGTCTTTGTTTGCAGTTTGACTGACCAAACCATACCATTTGAGTCAGGTTTTGTTTCTACTATTCGTGCAAGTGGCCATGAGGAGCGTGGAGAGGTAGGGTCAACCACCACAACAATATCTCCAACTTTGAGATTTGTTCTTGTCTTGCATAACTGTTACATACTCTTGTGTCCATCTCCTCCAGAACACATTCGCCAAATACTGCACTTGTCTCCACCGGCCTCTGGTGTATGAGTCATATCTGGAAAATTCACCAGGAGGTAAAACAGGTTGAGAATTATTCAAGAGAATGTGATTAGGGGTAAGAGGCTCCAGGTCAAAAGGATCAGAGGATGCAGTGGTGATTGGGCGGTTGTTAAGAATTGCCTCAACTTCACAGAATGTCTGGAGACCTTCATAGTCTACAACTTGTTGGTGTAACAGAGAATTCGGAATCCATCTTACAGACCTAATAAGTCTTTCCCACACGCCACCATGGTGAGACGCCCCTGGTGGATTGAAACTCCAGTCAATTCCCCTTTGGAGCATGGCATTCTGGATTTTACCACTGTTCAAATTGGTGAAAGCCTTTTTGAGTTCTCTATAAGCACAAACTAGATTAGTTCCGTTGTCTGACCAGATGTGTTTTACCTGTCCTCTCCTACATACAAATCTTCGTAAGGCATGGATACAGGAGTCGGTGTCAAGGGAGCTAGCCATTTCAAGATGAACTGCCCTGCACGACAAACATGTAAAAAGGACACCATATCTTTTGACAAAATTCCTTCCTCTTTTTGTTTCTATTGGACCGAAATAGTCCATTCCAACGTTTGTGAACGGTGGCAGATCAGGTTGGGTTCTTTCTTGTGGCAAATCAGCCATCTTTTGTTCCTCTGTTTTGTTTTTCAAACGTCTGCATGTCACACATTTAGAAATGACTTTTCTTGCTGCAGTGTTGCCACTAATGATCCAATATTTCCTACGCAACTGAGCAAGAATATCATTTCTTCCACAATGTCCATACCTTTCATGAATGTGGCATAGCAACAGATTGGAAATATGAGATTCTTTCGAAAGAATGAGAGGATGCTTCATGCTCTCAGACATTTTTGCACTTTACAGTCGTCCTCCTACTCGCAGTAATCCATTTTGTAACAATGGATCCAGCTTGTAGATGGTACTTTTCCTTTGAACATTGTGTGGAGGAGTTTTTAACTTTGCAAACTGATTTGGGAAAGCCTGCCTTTGAGTAAAAGCTACAACAGCCTTTTCTGCTCTCCCAAGATCTTTTGTGGATAAGTGATTACCACTAAGTGTTGCTCTGAGGACATGCAGCTGGGAGGTCACTTTCTGATGGTGTGCACAAGTTACGGATGTTAGCCTCAAGTTCCTTCCTTTTAGCAGCAAAAATTAACAGGATGTCTCCAAACTTTTGATACCAGGCAACTGCTTTCAATAACCTGGTCCAATCTGAGAAATAGGAAAGAAGTTTATCAGTAGGATTCTGTTGATCTTGAGTTACAATGCTACACACGACAGTACATCTCTTGACCGCTGGATCATTTTGTGTAAGAGACTCATGCTTATACCCTTCCATAGGCCGGCTGTGTTCTGGTTCCCAGAGGAATTCAGAGCCACATATCCACCGTTTACTTTCCAGAAACATTGGTATGCTCACCCCCCCTGGATGCATCATCTGCCGGATTGTTCCTACCGGTTACATACCTCCATTGTTGTGTGCTGGTGTTGTCTCTTATGAATGATACTCTATTAGCAACATAAGTGTAGAATCTTGCCTTGTCATTGGCTATGTATTTTAATACTGCCTGACTGTCTGTCCAAAACAAGGAGTCCTTCAGGGGGAGTTGCAACTCTGACCTGAGCATCTTGTCCACTTTGACAGAGACCACAGCCGCTGCTAATTCAAGCTGTGGAATCGTCGTCTGCTTTAAAGGAGCAACCCTTGCCTTTCCAATCATAAAAGAGACATGAATGCTACCTTGCTCATTGGTCATTCTGATATAACTTACAGTTCCATATCCAAGTTCACTGGCGTCAGCAAAATGATGCAATTGGAGTGACTGTGGCTTTCCACATTCATTTGGTTTCTGACAGCGTGGCACACTGAAGGCTGTTAGCTTGGGAAGGTCATGAATCCAACGTAGCCATTGTTTAGACTGAGAAGAGGATATTGGCTCGTCCCATCCATAGCCTTCTTTACACAGCTGCTGTAGCAATTGTTTAACTGGAAGAGTGAGGGGTGCCAAAATGCCAAGAGGATCAAACACAGAGCTCACCATAGAGAGAATTCCTCTGCGGGTGTGTGGCTTTTCGGTGACTGTGATGTTAAATCTAAAAGTGTCATCTTCTACATTCCATTGAAGTCCTAATGCATGTTCAGTTGGCAGTTTGTCATTGTCTAAATCCAAGGGCCTAATGTCTTTACCTCTTTGTTCCTCTTCAATGGAAGATAGGACAGTTCTACTGTTGCTCACCCATTTAGTGAGTTGAAATTCTCCCATGTTGCACAAATTCACCAGGTCTGATCTCAGTTGCACTGCTTCCTGTACTGTGGGCACAGACACTAGACAATCGTCAACATAAAAATTATGAATCACTGTTTCAGTTACCTGTGGTCTCATGTGACTATTGTCTTCCACTGTTCTTCGCAAAGCAAAGCTTGCACAGCTGCGAGAGGAGACTGCACCAAAAAGGTGCACAAGCATGCGATGGTCTTTTGGATTTTGCTCAATGTCCCCTTCTGGCATAAGAAGCGCAGAAAGTTAACATCTGATCTTGGGACCCTTACTTGGTAGTACATAGATTTTATATCCGCCATCATTGCAATGGGTTCTTGCCGAAATCTAAGCAGGACTCCAACCAATGAGTTGGTAAGATCAGGCCCTTGCAAAAGTTCTGTGTTCAGGGACACACCTTGATATGCTGCACCACAGTCATACACCACTCTGAGTGTTTTCTTTTTGGGGTGGTAGACTGCATGATGAGGAATATACCAGGTTCTTCCTTCCACTTGATCTACCTCTTCCTGTGGGACCATCTCAGCATATCCCTTATCCATCATGTCACTGAGAAAAGATGTATACTCATTATGGAATAACTCATTTCTCTTGAACTTCCTTTTTAGGCTCAGAAGACGTTGCATGGCCATATGACGATTGTTGGGCATTATCACATCATCTTTTCTAAAGGGTAAGTTAAGTGTGTAGTGCCCATCCGAGAATGAGATTGACTCATTTACAATTTTCAGAAACAATTTTCAGTTTGTCCTCAAATGACATTTCACATTTTTCTTCTGAGGCCTTTTCATTAAAATCATGATTGTACTGACTAATCAGCAGTTTTTCCAGATTTTCTACTGAGATTCCATTTGTGGTAGCAGATTGACAATCTTTGTTTGCACTAGAATCCCCTCCTCTTAAGGGTCCATTGATTACCCATCCAACTAAGGTCTTGACTGCGTATGGGCCTTCACCTTGACTATTTATGATTTCCCAGGGTTCTATGATCTTTGAGGCGTTGGTTCCTATTAGCAGCTCGATGTTGCCATCAATCTCTGGGATATCAACTTTTTGCAGGTATGGCCATCCAGCAAGGTCCTTCTTTGTGGGTATGTTTTCTCTAGTGACTGGCATCTCTTTTTGTGTGAACACATCAGACAATTGTATGAAATTGCTTTTATCCAAACCAGAAATCTCTAGTCCTGTAATTACAAAAGTTGGCATGGACTTCTCATGTCTTCAACAGGATATTGGTTATTTTACCTTTCATATTCAGCTGAGATATCAGACACTCGGTACGAAAGGTAGTGGAGCTTCCGGGGTCAATGAAAGCATAAACTGGTATGATCTTGTCACCTTTAACAGCTTTGACTCTTACTGGCACCACTGAGAGGACATTATCCTGTGTACCGGCCCCAATATGCCCACATGCTGGCTGCATAACAGCTGGGGAGTTCACTGTTGTGTCACTTTTCATTTCTTCCTTACTCTTTTGTTCAGCCACCAAAGTGCATGCCTAGCTACTACAAAAGTCAAAGACTCCTTTCTACATTTTATTAATACACAAGATCACAAAGGAAATGCGCTGTAACTGAAGATGGATATCAATGAGCACATGGCATGGACTGTTTGTTTGTACTGCATGGTATGTACGGCTTCATGTATTTCTTAAAATGAGCCATTGAAATTCTAGAAGAGGAAATCTACATCTAATTAAAGGAGACCAATTATGCCCCTTTTTACAATATATGTAAATCTCAGATGTCCCCAGAATGTGTCTGTGAAGTTTTAGCTTTTGATTATGTCTATCGCACTGAAATCATTTGTTTTAAACCATATTAGTTTGAACTTCTGATATATGGTTTTCTAAGTGCACACATCCGAAGCACGCACACAGAAAGTGGCAGTCACACAGCATGTACTAAACTAAGTTCTCTTTCATGTCTTATTTCGCTTAAACTATTGAATACACACAAGTTTGTGATAAAAAATAAAAAAACACACGAGTTACAAAAACAGTTGGTTATGTCTGT